ACACACACACACACACACACACACACGACTGAGTGTCCCCAAAGGCTGCAACAGAATTTGTCTTGACTGCGGGACGGACAGGGCAAAAATATGCCTTGACCACATGCAAACAACTGGTTGACTCTCAAGAGTCGCAGCTTATTTCAGAAATACTGATTCCTACTTATCAGCCTATCTTAACTGATGAGAATGCCTGCACTGTCTGAAAATACATTATTAGAAGTGGCTGTTGTGAAAAATCAAGCTACAAAGTGAATGAAATGACCCTATTCTGCCTGCGACGGCTTTCTCAGAGAGAGCCTTTCATGGGGGATTTTGTTGCTGCACTTCCCGGCTAAGGAGCTTTTACCCTCAGGATACTGAGGGCGCAACCACCCAATCACTGAAATGCGCTCTCTGGATCGCTACAGCTTATATCCCAATGAAACTGAAAACACAGAACTGATAAAGACGTCTTCCTGAATTTCCGCCAGACAACATGCCTCCTGCCCCAAGACGCGGGCCTCAAGTTCCTAGTTCTGAACAAACTAAGAGACTCATGAAACCGCTAACTTGCCTGGCGGTTACCTCACTTTTAAACAGGTGTTACGGAAATTTAATTTCCTCTTTACTAGGCCACACACAGTAGCAGTGGGAACACGCAGGGTCATCGCGCTTACCTGTACGGCTTGTCAGAGTTATGGATGCGCCTGTGGTTCCTGGCGCCCACGTACGTGGTGCTTGTGTACTCACAGACGTCGCATCTGTACTGCTTCTGGACTGAGGACTTACTCCCTAGGCAAGGATTTCAGGGTTTTAGCGACATGCTTTGGTTAGATTTAAATGACAGTATTTACATTCCAGTATAAAAGAATATTTATATCACAGTCTAGTAACATTTCCATCAAGGACTTTTCACTGTCAGCGACCTGCATGTGGCTTTACACATTCCTCTGCATCTGTATCGAGTATCACCTGACTGCAAGCACTTACATCGGGCTGGCTGCTGTTTAATGTATAAATTCCTAAAATATATTGCTGACTGCGCAGGAGCTGAAGGAACCAGATACACTCTGTGTTAGTTTACTCAATACTGGCGATATTATCTTAAGGAAACAGTAACTTGCCAATAAGCTGCAATGTCACACCACAACCCAGGGTTCCAAAGTGTGGGGACAGAGCAGGTGCAGTGACCCCTCAGCCAGTTCCAGCTGCCGCAGTCAGCCACAGCCTGAAATGTGAGACAGGACATTTCCAGAGAGGGGCCACATTCACATACTTTTACTGCAGCATATATTTGAGACTGCCCTATCTTGTAATTGTTGCTGTTGCTGTTACTGTTTCACTGTGCTTAATTCATAAATGAACCACAGGTCAGTACGTACAGGGAAACACCCAGCCTGTGAAGGGTTTGGTTCTCTGTGTGGTTTCTGCCAACTCCTTGGGGTATGTGTGTGTGTGTGTCTTAGAACATATCCTCTGTGGGCTACTTGGTAACAGACTTTACATTATAAAAAGCTTTTTCATCCTGTGGGTTTATTTGTAACTAAATGTCAGCTATCAAAGTAACAATGGAAAGAAAAGCAACTGCAAATTATGAAGTGTTAGATAATGGAGTATAATTACTTCTAGTAAACCGACAGGTCACAAGGACTGAGGTGGTGACTAATAGGAATTTGCAGCCTCTAAAACTCAGGAAACAGGGACCCAATGGAAACAGGCCGTGCAGCTAAACTCGCTATGGAGCAAGGCTGGTAATCCGGTCAGGGTAACCTGAGGCCACACAGCCGAGGGACCAGGCCTATGGCACGGCCGAGCACCTGCAGCCTTCTTTACTCTCTTCCGCCTGCACCCAGTGAGCCGACCAGGCCCGGCCTGCTTTTTGTTCAGAAACACAGCAGACGTGGGAGGTGCAGCAGAAGGTAGAGTGGAAGGAACTTTAGGTGGAACACCAGTGAGAGGCATAAAAGTGAAGCTGGTGGCGTGAAAGAAAACCCACACTGAAATTTTAACAAAACAAAGAAAATCCACAAGTTAAATTTAAGCTTTCTAAAACAGAATTTTTCTTTTGCTAACAACTATTCTTGCCAGGCAGGACAAAATGGCCTCATTTACTGGTATAAATCTATAACATTAATACACACACTAATCATAATTATAATCTAAGTATTGCTCTTAATTGGTAGGTTAAAAACTTGGACTTGATTATAAGTGGCACTGTTCCAAATGCAGTTTTTTAAAAAGCCCTGAAAAAATGAAGTGTGAAATATTGGATAATGGTTTTGTGTGAGAAATATTACAGATCAATGACAACTAATAAAAATGACAGATGGAAAAACTTAATATAGCACAGAATGAGAGTCTGTGCTACTTCAAGCAACTGTTTCCAGTGGAAAGAATATTGGACTGAAAGTTAAAAACTTGGGCTCAGTCCGTGCTCTGCCACTTAATACCAGGGAGATCACAGTGAGATCTTGAAGACTCAGTTTTCTCATCTACAGAATGGAAAGATGAGACCGGCCCAGCGGATTTAGTGAGCTGGGGGACCCAGCAGGATTTAGTGAGCCGGGGGACCCTGATTCTCCTTCCCTGCAGGCTGTACTTCACTAGCGTGTCTGAAAGCCTGTGACCTGTCGCCACACTTCAAGTGGGCAGGGACTTGCTTGTTTTGTTTACACTGACTCCCTAGGACTTGGAAAACTTTACGTTTGCCATAAAGAACAATTAAATTAAATGCCACAAAGAAACAGCAATGAAAGCGCCCTGGCCTCAGCTCTGTCACACCTGCAGTGACTGCTGTCGCAGCTGTCAGGGCAGCCTGGCTGGGCTCCTCCAAGGCGGCGATGCCGTCACTGTGCTCCAGCACCGCACAGCAGCCGGCTGAGACGGGCTCCCCACGCCGCCTTGTCGAGGGAGGGCTCAGGGACCATTTTAGTGGATGTCTGAGCGGAAAACATGCCCTGAGCAGAATGTGCCGCCACAATGGAGAGCAGCTGCGGACCACGGACACACGCGTCTCCCTTCTTAGCTTTCTCAAGTACTTCAGGAAACAAATCATTTTTACCTTCTTTGTGCGTTAAAATATCATTCTTTGGGCTAATCGAGTTAAAAGACCTAAAGCTGCATTAACAAAAGGACAGTAACAGTCTAAGCATGTGGGAGGTTACCAGACACCTGAATTGTTAGGACAGAGAGAAGCAAATGGAGCCGAACTGGGGGCAGGGAGGGTATCGCAGCCACACGCAGGCTCATGTTTGAGCCTAAGAAACGGAGGGTGATCTATAAAAGATGCTGCTGCAGGGTGGTACATGGTGGACAGATGCTAGTGCCGTCAAGTCTGAACTGGCAATTTTAATCTGAGCTGACATTTTGATTGCTTTTATTAAAAGTGTGAGTTTTACCGTTTGTTAAACCATTGGGACTGTTTTAAATGACTGCTTTTGAAGATGGTGCTAGAAAAGACCTACTCTAGTCTGGTGTTAACCGCAGGTGGTGCCACTGAGTAGCACTTTATTCCTTCATTAGGGATTTATGAGCCAATGGTATCAAATGCTTTAATGTCTTCTTTAAAGGGGATATGGAAACATAATGAATTAAAATAAAAGGAGGCATTTAGGGGCATTTTGTAAAAAAAAAAAACAGAACTGTTTTAGCTCAGCCATCTATCGCAGAAACAGATGCTGTGTCATAAACTCCCTTTGTTTTGGGTAGTTTTACAGGGGTGACATCTGCTTGACAAGGGGATTTTGGTGCTACAGTGGTGTCAACATCAGTTCTTTCAAAAACATTCTAGAACCAGTTATGCTTTCTGGGGTATAATTTAATGAAACATTATGGTAAAACATTTTATTCTGCAGTTGTTTCTAACTTTAATTCTTAGGAAGTCTAAAACGGAAAGTCACCCCAATATGTTTTATTTCCCATAAACACTATGCGCCATGCTTGAGACATTTAGAGCATATCAATTTAGGGAGATGATGCAAGGAAGCGCAGCTTATTAAGCTTTATCCCTAATTCTCCGAAAGGCATCAGCCCTTTCATGAAGCTAATTAAATCTTTTGCGTCTAATATTCCTATTAGCAGAAATTTGGCTGACTGATACCTAGCTAGCCTATAAAAAGATTCTGGAACTTTTATTTTTTAAATAACGCAGATGAAACCTGGCAGTCACGCCTGGGTAAGAGTAAGGATGGCAGCAGGAAGGCTCAGCTAAAGTCTGAGGTGGGGCTGCCATCTGGAAAGCCCCTTCCTCATGGTCACCGCACTGAGGGAGGAGGCTGGCAAGTCTGTCTCCTTGTCAGGGTTACAGCCGCAGCCTGGCTCCGGCAGGACAGGGCGCACTTACGCACAAAGCAACACAGCGGAAGCTGAGACCTGCCGGAGGGAGCCCTGCTAGGACCTGGCAATAACGGACTTCCTCCACTCGCAGGGGTTCCTCAAGAATGGATTTGCTCATGTTCGTAGCATAAAAACAGAAAAGATACAGAGCTTTACTTCCACAACCACCCACATGACAACCGATGGCATTTTGCTCTCCACATGTTTGTCATGCAGCCTGTATGAGAAAACGCTGGTACCTTCCTGAACACACTTCCCATCGGCCGTGTCACTGGAAATTCTTGACTCATTAGAAGCTGCTATTGTCAAGGTGTCTGAGAGACTGTGCTGCTCTCTCTCGTGATTCCTCAGTTGACTCTAAAAAATTAAGAGAAACTAGTATGTAATTTTCAGTAAGGACATGTACTCAGTCACCCGGAGGCTCTAGAGGAGTCGATGTTTCTATGATCTAGAACATATTACTAATATTTATTTTCACTAGTCTTTAAAAATCAGATTGCAACAAGTTTTGACCCACGTGACAATTTATGCAAAGAGAAACAGCAGAGAACTCAATCTCATCAACCACGCAGCTCTTTCCTGGTCTCTGAGAGGAAGCCACGGCAGTCCTAGGAGATGTTTATGCACGGCATGCGGCTGCTTACTGACTGACTGACTGACAGGCCCGCACAGAGAGACAGTGGCGAGGATAAAGGAACACTTTCACCAATAAACCCAACTGGTAAGTCTTGCTAGTTTTTGCCTTCAAATATTAACTAAACGCGTAAGCAACACCTAACAGAAGCTGGTGCTCGCAAGGCACCCTCCTTCTCCATATCCATCCCAGGACTCGGGATTGCAGTAGCAAAGAGACTCTGCGAGAAAGTTTGGGAACCTGCTTGCCTTTGCAGATATGTCGATATCTACTTGTCTGATGGCCGAGGCCATTTCACAATTTTTTAAAAAAAAGATTTATTGGCCCTCCCTGGTGGCGCAGCGGGTTAAAGCACAACACTGAGAATCTAAAACCGCTTCCACATGAGTTCAATTCCCGCCTGCCCTGGAGGTTAACCACATGGCGCGGCAGACCTCTCCTGACTGGGCCCGCTGCTCCCCTCAGCAGTGTACTTCGTAGATCTGCCTGTTCTGTTCCCCACTCTGTCTCTGGTGAAGCCTCTCACCGCCCCTGAGCCTCTGGCCTGTACCCCAGTTCTGTATGCACAAATAAATAAATCTTTAAAAAAAATTTATTTATGCATACAGAACTGGGGTACCAGGGGCAGTGAGAGGATTCACCAGAGCAGAACAGGCAGACTGAGGAAGGACACTGCTGAGGGGAGCAGCAGGAAGACAGGAGAGGTCTGCTGCGCCATGTGGGTCACCTCCGGGTGGGGGATTGAACTCGCATTGTGGCCAGCTCACAGTGCTGTGTCCTAACCCTTTGCGGCACCTGGGAGGGCCCCCATTTCACAATTCCATAAGACAAAACAAATGGTGGTGAATCTCAGACTTAGGTATTTGAGGAATAATCCTGATTACTTTTTTTACTATTAATCAGATGCCAGCTTTAGGTAATAGTAAAGAAAACAAATCTATATCCCAGCTAGTCCTTTAGGATATATATATCCTATTTTTTGGTCAAATAGTCAGCTGGCACAATGAAGAAAACTGCTAAACCAGTGATTCAGTGAATGCAAGTTTCCTTAAACAGTATTTCATGTTGACTTTTTTGTGTGTGTAAAGAACTGGGTGTAGGCCAGAGGCATTGGGGGGAGGAGGGGTGAGAGATGGATTGACTAAATGGGGAGCATTCTGGCACACAAGATCTGGGATACAGGCCAGGGTACCCCAGTTGTCTGGGAGCAGAGAAGGTGGATTGACTGAAACACACTGCTAAGGGGAGCCCTGGTTCAGGCAGGAGAGGTCTGCTGCGCCAAGTGGGTCACTCCCTGGCTGGGGATAGTGATGAGACGTTTAGGCCAAGAGGCCCACTCATGCGGGGTGTTGGTCTTAAGGCAATGCGCATGATGAAAAAAACAGTCACCGCTTTGAAAGTCTCTCAAACAGCCCACAGAAGAGCACACATCCCCTGGACTGTCTTTCATGAAGTTCAATCAGCCCATTTTCTTCTCCACAATGATAAACATCAGGTTTGTTTGTTGTGTAGCAGCTGAAATGGGGCTAGAGTAAGAAAAAAATTGTGTGCTAATGATGCAGAATTAAAGTTGTGGGTGTCAAATGTGTGTGCATTATCACTCTGCTGGACACGCCTCGGCCATTTTAAATCAACACCTTAAAAGCACTAGCATCACAGAGGGGCTATTAAGGAGGCAGCAGGGGGCAAGGACCTCTTCCCAGAGAAGTTCTGCCTAGACTGCAGTCACAACTAGTCACAACTTTGATGCTAGTCTGGGAGCCCCTTGGGCAAATTCTCCAACTGGCTGGGTCTCAGTTTCCTACCTATAAACTAGGGAGGGGGCCTATAGCCACAAGTTTCCCACTAGGGCCCTCCCTGGTGGCACAACGGGTTCAAGCGCAGCACTATGAAGCCCCTGCAGCACCAGTTCGATCCCCGGCCAGGGAGAGACCCACAGGGCGCAGCAGACCGCTCCTGACCACACCCCCCGGGGCCCTGCCGCTCCCCCCAGCAGTGGATTTCTGCTCCCCACTCTGTCTCTGGTGATTCCTCTCACCCCCCTACCCCTGCCCCTCTGGACTGTACCCCAGTTCTTGTGTGTATAAATGACTCTTAAAAACAAAAACAAAGCCCCGCTGATCTAAATTCTAAAATTCTGTGAGTGACTCACCAAGCCATGCTTACCTTATAGTGAAAAGACTCTTCACACTGCTTGCACTGGTAGATCCTCGTTTTGCAGTGGTTAATCATGTGGTTCTCCAGATCTCTGCTGTCGTCGGCTATGTGCTCGCAGATGGGACACTGGTAAGGCTGTCTCTGCCGGTGGACTCGCAGGTGCTGCTTGATGTAGCCCTTGTTACCGCTGGCGTAGTGGCACAGGCGGCAGCGGTAGGGCCGCTCGGCGTTGGGGATGTACTCCACCACGCTGCCTCCTGCCACGCTTGCGTCGCCGCTGGGCTGGCACTGGGCGTTATCCTGCAGCTCCTTCAAGATGTCGTCATCTGAAGCGTTCTGATCTGTCCTTTCCCTCAACTTTTCAATGACAGTGAGCAAGGACATGCTGATGCCTGTCTTCACTTGCCCGTCCGACAGTTCCTGCCGACCCTCTGGGAGCGCTACCAAGGTAGAGCTGCTTTGGTTGAAAGCAGTTAAGCCATCCGCAGAGCTTTTAAGTGGCGACATCATTTTGGAGTATGCTGCCAATGTGCTATCTACCTGCCTTTGTCCGGTATCTGGAGCTAAAAGGTTTATATTCCCGTAGTGGCCCAGGTTGGCTCTTGTTAGTTCTGCAGCTCTGATTGGCATCGTGACCAGCGCTTCTGCAGCTAGTGAGTGGAGCCTAAGAGACTCAGAATTCGTCCTTCTTCGGCCTGGCGGGGCATTTTCATCAGTTGCCAGTCCTTTGCTCAGTAACTCACTATCCTCCTTCTCTGGATTGCTCCAGCCGATGATCAGCCCCCCGATATCGACAGTACACTTATCGGAACGGTAAATCTCCTCTGTGCCTTCACACCCAACTGGAGCTTCCGCTGGGCTCAGGTTCTGCCCCTCTTCCATCTCAGCATTCATGAGGAAACGCTTCTGGGAAAGCGTTTCTTCAGCGCTCGGCAAACGCTCCACTATCACATTAACATGACCTTTCTTGTTTGGGCTACTGCTAATGATTTTCTGTGCTGATGAAAGCAGACTGTCAGCGATCAGATTCTCCTCGGCATCAGAAATCACCTCTAGCATTTCTTCCTCGTGCGGGTCAAGGGTAACGGACTGACTGAGGTGAGCTCGGCCTTCCACGCGCTGCTCAGAAGGAGCAGTGGACAAGGGCTCAGAGCTGCAGATCTGCACCTGAATGGAAGGCCCGTTGTGGATACTCAGCTCATTGTCCCCAATCGCAATGACCACGGCATCAACGCCCCCTGGGGCCGAGGCCACGGAAGCATCTAGCAGCCCGAGGGGCTCGTTTTCATTCTCAAAGATTGGATAGGAACAATCAACCTCCCCAGCGTGTTTCCAGGCATGCGTTTTCAGCATTCTCTGCTGCCCGCAAGTGTAGCTGCAAAACAAGCACCGGTACATGCCATACTGCTCATAGGCATACCACTTCCTCCTGCCCAGCCCGGCCACGGACGCGGCCTGGACAGCACGAGCCGGAGGGTCACCCACACTCACCGCGACGTCAGGAATGCTTTCGTTATTTCTTTCTGTGGTTCTCCGACACAAGGAGTTGGAGGGGCTGACGCACTGCTGGGCTTTGGACTGAGGGTGGCCGCTGGCATCGTTTTCATGGTCATTTACCACGTGAGCTTCAAGTTCCTCTTGGCTCTTAGAGGTAACGTGGCACTCTGAACACATCAGTATCACCTCGTTCTGCTGACCGTGCTGCTTGATATGATCTTTCAACACAGAAAAAGATGACGACAGAAACTTACAGAGGCTACACTGGTACGACATGGCCTTCCCATCATTCGGGGCGAGAGAGTCAGGGGCCGGGTTTGTCTGCGACATCGCAGCCCGTCTGACACCAGCAGCAGGTGACTGGATTACTTTAGCTGGAATCTCACCAAGTTCTTCAGCTTCAGGAGACCGTGTTGTAGCACTTGACCGCGAGCGCTTTTTTCCAATCAAAAGACATTTTTGTGACTTTTCATGTTCCACTATCTTGCTTAACTTTTGGATAACATGGATTAATGGATCTGTTTTCACTTTTTTTGGTTCATCGATTTCCAAGGATGAACTGATGACAGTTTCAGCGGCCAGTATAGCTTCCTGTTCCCCAATATCTGGCACCAACATGGCAACGCTGCTGCTTTCTTCCATACCTACAAAGGATGATATGCAGTGAAAATGGCAGGCTAGACAAGTACAGGTACACAATGCAATCCTGGCACGATAATCGTTGGGTTAACCTAAGTAGTTCCTACCTGGGAGCTAGCTGCCCATCACTGTATGTGGCTACCCCCAACACAGACTACAACCCTTGAGAGCGTCGGTCTAGAATGCTGCCTTCCACCAAAACAGAGGATGGAACCTTCACACCTTCCTTTGGAAAAGATTTTAACAGTCTGTATCTCTTTTTTGCCTCGTTTCTCCTCCCCGCGCCCCCTCCAGACATTTAGCTGAACCCACTGGTACTCATTCTTGGCACAAGGCCAAAAACCCAAACAGCTTCCCACCCCTAGCTTGATGTAGCCATTTCTTTTGGAGGTGGGTCCTCCTTCACTTACTGTGAGGCATCGTTCTATAAAGCCAATACATGATTAATATAATACTTGGGACATCACTTCTGACTCCAAATGTAACTGTAGTATTATTACTCAAATTATAAATTTCTAGTTTTTTCTCCCCACATCTTTGGAATTATGAAAATACAGTCATGTAACCAATTGCAAAAGGCATAGTGAATTTCAAGAAGTCTGAGGCAAATGAAACCAAATAAAAGCAATGAGCTAGTTCCTTCTTTTACTTCCTTTGCTTTATCTTCCTGAAGATAAACCACAAACTATGCTGTGGCTTTTTCTAGAGGTCAGGTTAGTGGTAAATTATTACTCATATACATCCAGTTGTTGTTTTTTTCCTCTTTTCCTGAAAGGGAAAAGGTCATAGGAGAAGTGAGAAAAAAAAAAAAAAAAAAAAAAACCAAACCACCAAACCAAAAAAACAAACTGATCTTCTAGTTGTGTTTCAGTTCTAAATATGCACAGACACTTTAGAAAGGTTAACCATAGGATCCAGTAAAGCACTAAGGCCAAGGAAGTCACAAAACATAAAATACGCACATTCTCTTTTAGCCTGAATCTTGAATACTCTATTTCCTGGCAGTATTTTCATTCCAAACATTTCCTTTGGCTTAAAGTGAGATTAATTTGTTGACTTGGATCACATTTTAAGGTTGGGCTTCTTTCCAGCAACAAGTTTTGTTTTTCCACATTTTAGGTGCATTCTGGGATCTTACTCACAACATTAAATAAATGCCAACAAAATTTTTAGTGGCACTAGAGACCCAAAACCATACTTTGCAAACTTCAGTCCCAGGCTCTGATTCTGACTACAGGGGGTGGATTCAGGCTCCTCTTCCTCCAGGTGACTGATCAACAGACGAGGCTGCAGTACCAAGTCACAGTGGACCCCGCCACAGTGGACCAGGCTGGTGCCAGTTCTACATCAACTCCTGGCAGCAGTTGGGCCTTTTCCACTCTTTCTGGCACACTTGCTTTCTTTATCTAGGTTCACATCAGACAAGAAGGCAAACAGTTTGCTGTGGGCTTTACCTGTCTCTCCCTTCCTCCTACTCTGCTCACGGAATCAGCCCTTCCCCCCTTGCCACCTCTACCTGCGAGGGGCACACCCAGTCTTCAGAACGGCAGCTGTCTGGCTCCCAAAGGTCAATTCTTGGAGCATTTTCTTTCCTAAACCCGAGGGTTCTCAGCCTCTCAAAATATTAGTTGCTTTTACAGCTATAGTGGAACAACAAAATGTTTTTAAATGTTGATCCTCAAATCACTGAAGAGGGGACCTGTGGGGGAACAATTTGTTTTAGTAAAATCCTTTGGGACTTCACAACCACTTTTCTTTCATATAATTCCCCATTTTTAGGCCACTTGGAATCGCGGCTGTCTATCCTTTAGGACCATCCATTTAAAGCTTTCTGTCTGTTGCTAGTGAATAATGTGACTCCTAAAACAGTCAGTTTCTTGCACAAGAGTTGGGGCTCTATTGTAGGTGTGAGGTCACCTTGCCAAGAAATGAGATACCCAGCCAGGCTGATTGATAACCCGAAGGTTAACACGTTGAGTGTCAGCTCAGCGGACTTTGCACACCCACAGGCTTGGAAAGGCGACTCCTGTTATTCCTCTTCTACTAATGATATAATAGGAGGGAGACGGAGCGGTGCAAATTGCTCCCTGTGGATATCAGTGTGCACCTTAAAAAGAAAGTGAAATGAAGAGGAGGAGGAGTCCCCCACCTCAAGAAAAAGACTAATACAAAAGAATCTGACAAAGCACTCAGATTTTTAAAGCTGTGCCTGCTCAGGCATTAAGAGCTAATGGAAATTTGCAGCAGATGCTCCAATTTCCCCCGAACATTTATGTAAGTATCTCATTTTAGAGACTGCCTACATTTGGGAATAAGTACAGAAATGGCAGCTATAAAACAGATATGACAACATAAAATACATCAAGAAACACCTGAAAGCCAGTTTGGATCCACATGGCAAAATCAACTCACCAGTTAAGTCTCATTAAAACTAAGACTCTGATTAAAAACAAGGTCACATGAACAGCTCCGACAAAAGAGGAAGCTAAACTGGCCTTGCTTTATATTCCCACAAAAATTTCACTTCAGCCACCAAGGTGGTTTTGGGACTGCATGTTAAGTGAGGGAAAATGTATTTCAATGACAGAGAGATCGGAACACAAAAACAATCCCAGTGGCCGAACAGGTTATAATCATTTGTACAGTATCCTTGGCCTCCAAGAAACCAATGCAAATACAAGTGTAGAAAAGATCGCCAATGAGGTGGCTGGTTGGGAACAAAACAAAAATGGCAAATAATGTAATCAAATTTGTGAGCTGGGTACCTAGGAGTTCCCCATACTATTCTTTCAAGAAAATGTTTTAAAAAAATTAAAACAAACAAACAAACAAAACAACAGTATGAGAAAAACTGTTATGTGGATGTGTGCAAAGCACCAAGCAAAGTACCAGGAATGGAAAAAGCATTTAAATGCATCCAACTGAGTGGACTGAGTAAGACAAATTAAGAAACTTAGGAGAATGAATGGCTTTTAAACAATGCAACAACATAAGGGAAGGTAACACGAGACCTGAGAGCTTGCTTTGGTCTGGGAAGGTTAGGCAAAGGCTTCTTCACAGGAAAGACGCAAACTGTAGTCCAGAAAGGCACGCCAGGTGTCATCCACTACTCTTCTAGGCTGCCTCCTGCCCCCTCTCTGCTGTCTCAAACGGGGTTACATCTTTAGGCGTGCAGCCCCCTGGTTTCTGGGTGTGACATCAGTGGGGAGCGATGGAGCTCAAGATACTCATTTCCTGTTCCTTAGTCCCCTCTTTCTAGTGACCTTGCTGGGCCATGTTACTCAACAGAAGGCATTCTCTCCAGGCTGGAGGCTCTGCAAGACACTCCCGTCTGTTGCTGTTAGCCCTCGATAACCAGAATATTCCTGTGGTTTGCTGATATGTTGTTATGAATATCTTTGTATATAAACCCTTCTAATTTCCATTACTGTAACTTGAATGTGCCAGTTGTTTTCTTAGAATTATACTGTCACAAGGGTAAGACAGACAAGGCAGGCAGCCCAAACACTACCTTCAGAAATGAAAAATAAGCACAGGGGTTAGTGGAAAAACCAGTATGGCTGAACAGGAATTCTATTAGGAGGAAAGACCAGAGGCATCAGGAACACAGGGGGTTTACTGCTTGAAATTTTTGGACATTAATACTATTACAGCAAACACCAAATTGTGACAATTAAGAATAGTACCCTAAACCAGAAAAATTCTACACCTTTACTACTGAGTCTTGAATTTTCCTAGAACCACATTCCACAGGCAAAAGCTTGTAATTAATGTCTTACCCAAGAAAAGAGCCAAATTATTTTAGTTGTCTTTATTTCCTTATAATTTGCTATTCAGTTTATTTGTATATCTAATTAGCTCCTTTCAGTTATAGCAGTATGGTTATCATAAATCAAACTGAACAATTCATGTGGGCCTGAGAGCGACTGGAGAAAGGCTGTAATTTTCTGTGTAAGCATGAAGACAGTTCAGAGTATTATAAAAAGCCTTCCCTTTTAGCTTAAGGACTTGTTTTTTTTCCAACTAGAAAAAACTGTCCATAGTACCCAATCTTCTAGATTATTGTGGTTCTAAACCACAAAATATTTATTTCAGTCCAGTGAAAAAGCAGGGGACACGTATTCACAGGCACCTCTCCCGAAGTGCCCTCTCTCAGCTGTGTGAGAGAAGAAAGTGACTGTTCCCGTGGGTTTCAGATTCCTCAGATACAGAAGAAGAGAGCAGTGTTGGTTATGTAGCAGGGTGGTCCCTAGGAAAAGGGAAGTTCCAGGTTTGGGGGTTCAGGAGTGCTCCTCTCTCCCTGCCCTGTTAACAGTTACTTTCATGTTCCTGAATTATAAATTGCCTGTAACAAATTTCCTCAGAACTGTTTATATGTTACTTACAGATTTACATTACTAACGTCGTACTAACATCGATTATCATTTATTTGACTTAAGATCTCCTTAGCTTAATATAACTATTGCCACTGAGGAAAAATGAGTATATCGGAATTATGAATTTCATACTCTAAAACTTCTTAGTTGGCATTTAGTCTGAGAAAATATTCTAATTTGGCAGCTGCAATTAAGACAGAAGGTCTAACTAATGTTAGCCAGTGTTCAGATTTAACATTTACTGAGCACCCATAATGTGCCAAGCATAGTGCCAGGGACTATGGAAATGGGTTAAGAGGGAATGTCTGCTCAGGAGGAGCGCCTCTGGAATTGTATGTTACTTCAGTAATTCCTGGTAATACCAGTCTCTTTCTTAGAGATGAGCAATATGAAACTCACATATGTAAAGTAGTAACTGCTTCAAGAACTGGAATTCTGGCCTATCACATTCTAAATCCAACCTTTATCAACAGACCAATTTCCTCTTGTTTCTTAATGACAACAAAAATGTATTAAGTATCAACAGTGTAACGAGTAAGGGCCTTTTACAGGAGGCACTATCAAACATGTTAGTGTGTTTGACGGTCATCACTCTTTGGGCCAAGTAGGTGTGACACAGTTCTTTAAGTAGAATTCATCGCGGCTGAAATGACTTACCCAAAGTTACATGGCTGTTAGAGGAAGAGCCAGTGTCTTTCAAATCAATTCCTGAAATAAATACAGTCCCCTGGGTCAATCTTCAAATCCAGCTGTGGCCAAGAATGAAAGTATATAGTATCAAACATTTCTTTCTTTCTCTCTCTCTCTTTTTTTGGTGAGACAAAGTAATCCCCCCCCCCTTTGTCAATGAAAAATTTCTCAATATTCTATGCCAAAAATAAATTCAGAGTGATATCTATGCAACTCAATCATGCAATGCAAACTGACATAACTATCAAACAAGTAGGCATTAGGCTTTTGCACAAATCAGAAATAATTGCTTTATAAACTCACTAGTTGTGTATTATGCTTTAGCTCAGAATTTGATCAAATCAAAATATTATTGGTTTTACTGACAATTAGGAAAAACCATGGCATATTGCTTTTTTTTTAACATGAAAAATAATACTCTACAGGATGATTCTGCTAACTTCAAACAGTTCTACAAGCACAGTGGGCTGAAAGGCAGCAGAAGACAGGACTCGGCGGACTGACCTATATTTTTGAATGCAGTTTCCTGTCCTGGTCCTGCATTTCTTTGCTACAGTTTCTTATCTACCTAGAATGAATCTAAAAGATTAAAGAATACTTATTTGTCTTCCCCGGAATGCTGCCTTATCGATTATGGCTAACAGTTCACTGCCGGGGCAGAAAACTTGTGTTTAGTCTTCCCCTTAAGTTAATTTTAAACGAGTTAGTGAAGTAAAGGAATGAAGGGTCAGACATTCTCTTTTAATCAACAACAAAACGCGTACAATGAGTCATAGTGGAGTACTGAAGAAGTACAAACTCAAGGAGTTGATCATTCCTATAATCTCTGATAAGAGAGATGCAGACGGATAGCAACTACAGTTAACTAAAAAGATCGCCTACGGGCTGGGATGGTGGCCTCCGCTTAACTAATCATCCAGGCCTTCCACACCAACCGTTCACTTCAGATGCCCGCAGGTCTGAAAAGGTGGGCGCTTTTCCCAATGATCTCAGGGGAGACCATTTCATCAAAGAGGTTCGTAAGAGGTGTAAGAGGTGCAGAAAGCTAGGGCTTCCTTTCTGTAACTAGTTTCTTTTTCCCTACAGCAAGCGGAGGTTAGCTGAGGCAAAGAGGGGATGAGAACAGCAATCAAGAGACACGGCGTGGCCACACTCGTTAGTTCCATCCCGGCCGGCCTAAGCGGTCTCACAATTGCGGAGAGGAAGGAAACAACGCTCCAGCCGGCCTGCCTGCGGGCTAAGCCGGTGACATTACGCACGGAGCGGCAGGTTCCCCCCACCCACAACCGCAGGGCAAGCCCGGGGGCTCGGCGAGCCTTGCTTTGGGCGGCAAAGAGCACCGAAAGAGGACGCGGAACTTGGGGCTTGGGGCTAGCACCGGGCGTGTGTCGGCCGGCTCAGGAGGAAGCGGCGCGCAGGTAGAGGCCTGAGGGGAGGACGCACATGGCTGGCGGCGGCGCTATCGGCTGGCGGAAGGGCGGCCCCGGGGCGCTGTACCTGCGGTCGGGCGGCAGCTGCTGCTTGCGCGAGCCTCCTTTGGCTGGCCTGGGGCCCGGCCGTGCCCTCGCCCTCCTCCTCGCCCACCTCTCTCCCGGCTCTTTTCCCTCTTTTCCCCCGCTTTCCCCCTCCTCATCCGGAGCTCCAAAATGGCGGCGCAGGGGATGGATCACGTGAGCCGCGGGCAGGTCAGGTGACCCGAGTGGCGGGCGGCGGGGGCGGGGCGACGCTCAGGCCCCGCCCACGGGCATCCCGGGGCGCTGAGGCCGGGTGAGTGCGAAGGAGATGCTGGCTGAGCTCGCCGTGCTCCTCCTCGGTAATGCGCCGTGGGGCTCTCGAGGCCCCGCTTAGCCCCCGCCGTGGTCGTCTGGTCTAGAAGTTAGTGAGTGTTAACTTGGCAGTCTTCCCACGTTGCGCACATCTGCTGTGGGCTACCCCCCTCCCTTCCTCCCGCCCTCAACTTCTTGCAACAATGGACCGGTGTGGGCCCCTGTGGACGTTCTTTTCAGCCCCATGCTTGTGTTTTCATTTTATTTTATTTCGACGGCGCTTGTTTGGGCTGTCCTTTTCGTGGGGTGGTGTGGCTGAAATGCCGAGGCCTGAACTCGCTTCCTGACTGGACTGCAGGTGTGAGTGAGGGCTAGAACTGGCCCACAGAGCTCTATTTGCTTGAGAGCTTGAAGGTTTCTGAGAGCTCATCCTAGGGGTGTAGAGGCTGACTTAGTAGCTTGACCCAGCGACACTACCTCAGTCCTGCGAGGTCCACGGGGTCACCAGGAGGGCGTAAAAGCCCAGTACAAAGCTCCTGATGCTGGGCCCAGCTTCCCTGGCATGTTGGACAGTTCCGGTAGATTTGTAGCAACACAGCAGGAGACTGGGGCTTGGAGGTTTATGCAGCTCTGTAGCCACAAACAGCAGTGAGGGAATAAAACCAAACGGTCCTGTTGTACCAGTAGACTAGACTTTGCCATTGAGATCCTGCCAGGGGACTCCCAGAGATATAAGGGAATTTTGCTGAACGTTGATCAAGTGGGAGGGGAAAAAATCAAGGAAGACCAGAAATTGGTGAAAAGAAGAAATTGAGAACAAATAATCTGCAAATTTCTTTCCTTCACATCATGTAACTTTAGTTTATAACTATCAGAAGAGAGATGTTTCTTTAAAAGATAAGTCTTAACTGTAAGGTTCTTGAGGCTTACGTGGACAGAACAGAAATCAGAGAATTATTTGATCAGGGAAAGGTGCACAAAGTGGAGAATGTACTATTGAGGGAAAGTAAGAAAATGCTGAAGTGAGGTGGTCAAGTGTATGGTAGAAGTTCCCGTGGCTGTCACTCTTGGTATTTACTTGCTACTTCTCAGTGTTCCTCTTTGTGGCCAAGATTAGATAGAACTTTCCTGTCTTCCTCCTGGTTTGTAGCTGTGGTCCGTGACTGACTGAACTAGTGAAGTGTGGAAGTGGGGGTGGGGGGAGGTACTGCCTCCACCCTGCAGCATATATTTACCAGTGCATTCCATTCTGGGGTGCTCTTTTTCTTTTGGCAGTGTTAAAAATAGTGGCTACCCTCTCAGCCTATATTTTAGGGTGACCATGATGATTTGAACCTCAAACCTCCCATGGATCTGTAGGGTGATGCTTTGGAGCTGTTTGTTACTGCACCTTCTTACCCCGAGTAACTAGAGAGGAAGAACAGTAGAAAGACACCATTATAGGCAGGCTGAGATGTGAATGAAAGGGCCTTCATTCTTGAATACAGAGAAAGTCTAAAATGGAGAATCTGAAAGAAAACCCTAGACATCAGTCCTCCTTAGTGGTGCAACAGATTAAGGCACAGCACTACAAAACTAGCTGTTGCCGCTTCAGCACGAGTTCAATCCCCAGCCAGGGAGTGACCCACATGGTGCAGCACACCTTTCCTGACTTGTCCGCTGCTCCCATCAGTAGTGTATTTCAGTCAATCTGCCTGTTCTGCTTCCCACTCTGTTGAATCTTCTCACTGCCCCCACACCTCTGGCCTGTACCCCAGTTCTGTATGCATAAGTAAATAAATCTTAAAAAAACAACAACCCCGAGATAGTTTCAAAAAGCCAGTGGAGGGAAACCTCGTATTTATCTTCCCTATATGGAGCTATGCAGAAAATGTCACTAAGCGGTTTATGCCAGAGGAATTAAAAAACATTCAAATGAGCTTTCATTGAACTTGTGGACAGCTAACTAAAACTCTTCTAGGTATGTTCACTTGCCACAGAATGTTATTTGTCACGATTTAATTAACCAAGATTTGGTCTATAGATAGGAAACTTGCTTACTCAGCTATCTACCACCTACTCAGTGGAATCAGATTTTGTCTCCAGATGAGCGATGACTTAGATAACCGAATCCCTATCTCCTCACATCTCATTTTCCCACTTTGAGATCATTTATTAGTTACTTTCCCCCCTAAGTTTCATGCATCTGTATCTTCTGAAATCATCAGGGAGATTGATAATGCATAATGCGTGCTCGACTCCAACAACAGTTTGAACCCAGAGACTGTTGGGATCTGGGGCGTCTAAGGGCAGTGCAGTGAGTTGTAGCCAAGGAGATGGCTGGTTGTAAACAAATGAGGTGCTAAACCAGTCGAAACTTGAGAAGACCAATGAATTTCCCTCCTTGCTACTCATGGGGGACACCTTGTCTTTGAGTCATGAGATTGGAATAAATTTCTTTGGAAGAGGCTAATCTTGTGAGTCCTTGGCATAGCACGGAAACCTGCAGACACGTATTAGCCTGTATTTCTGTTAGTTGCAAACTTACCAAGATGTTAAAAGACATGCATTTAGAATTTATCCTGCCTCGAAAAAGGAACAATTGTGAAAGGGTAAGAGAAGGCAGGAGGCCTGAAAGGAAAAAGTTGTGGTGATGTGATCTGAGAGGATGAGCCTAAACGCTTTCCCCAGGAGCTGTCCTGGGGCTATAGCAGGTGGACTCTGTCTCCCTAATGTGTCCATCCTGCTTGTGAAATGCAAAGTTCCTTTTTTTGAGCTTCAGATGTCTTCTGTATGGATGTACAGAGTTTAATTATAGGCATCCTCTGGTTCAAAATTGGGACTTAATCATTAAGAATAATGGCAAGGTTTGATTTTATTAATGAATAAAAAGATTGCTTGATATAAGTCAGAAGGAATATAAGATTAAAAGACATGATCTATTATCATATATACAGCTGCCAGTAATAAATTAACATTAGCTCTGGGTTCCTTACACTTTGCATCCTGAATATATACCTAGAAATACTTCATAATTATAGTTCAGGTCTCCAGAATCATCATAAATTATCCATCTGTCATTCATTCTCTTAAAAAGCCTCAGACCTACATTATTTCAGAAGTACATCGATGTCTAAAGTCTCTGGTGCTACGAGGCACACATACTAATTTACGTCTTCTTGAGGACACGAATAAACCAGCAGGGCACACCACAACTGGCGATTAGGAAGAAATGGGGAGAGAACAGAGGCAGCCTGTACGAGAGCTGGGCTTTGCTCTAGCTGACACTGGTTTTGCCTAACTTTCAGCTCCACTGTTTTGGGCCTGAGCCTCTAACTGGTTTAGAAGAACCCTGGCAGAAAGCTCACACTGTGAGCGTCCAAAAAAGCTCTGTAGTCTAGGTTGTTAAGGAGATTGACACATGGCTTCCTTAGCTCCTGGGACTCATACCCAGGACTTGGGTCTGGAGGACGCGAATCGATGGTGGTGACACCTAGTGGCTGACCTGGTATGTGCAGCCAAGTCAGGGAGGAGGGACATTTGCCTTGTCCAGCTAACCCAGGCCTGACCCGGGGCGTCTCATCAGGCAAATAGTTGGGTTTCTGGCAGAGATTCCCTGAAATCATTTTGATTTGTGGTTGGGATCCAGGAAAGGCATCAGCAGGCGGGGAATGGAGGTGGAAAGGGGCTGCTTGGGAGGCCGTCAGGAGGCTCCTTTCAGTCTGGTCTGCATATGCCACAGACTTGCGCTGTGCAGAGTGAGGCTCCGTGGAGCAGGGTGCTCGCCTCCGCCAGACTGTCTCTCTGCTCCAGTGCAGACTGCTTATTGGAACGCTCAAGCAATTTTCAGTCGTCTTTGTCAATAAAGTCAGTCTCTTCTCCACAAGGGGAATGAAAATGAGATTTTGAGACCTCCAAAGGGCTGTCTCCTTTGGCCACTTTATCTGCCCAGAAGTCTCAGCCGAGTTGGGTGGTAGCTATTCGCTATATCCAAAACCCTGTTGACAGGTAATACCACCTGCTTCTGAACAAGACAATGTGATTATAATAGGATACGGTTACATTCTTCTCAGAGAAGCAGTTTCCTTAAAGTGGTGACCTTTATTGATGAGAGGGGCAGAGGAAGAAAATGAAAAGAAGAGGGGGAAGAAGATGAAGAAAGACACTAAGAGGAAAAGAAACTGCTAATCAAACCCAGAGAGCCTGGCTAAGGGGTAATCCTGTGACCTAAAAGTGTGTCATTTGTTATTTTGACAGCTCCTCTTGAGGTGATAGACTAGGAGAAGCCACTAGCATCAACATCAGCTGGCTGGGAGTTCCACTTCTTGCTTCCTCAGCCATCAGTAAGTGGATAACCACAGTTAGCAAGTAGTCTCCCCACGAAGGTTCTCTACCTCTCAGCTTCTCAGACACTGCCAGGACCAAGCGGAAGGATCACTGTAAAGTGTTTGACTTTTCAGGCTGTTTATTTCATGGCAAAAAAAGACATGGGTAGGAAAGGAAAGGAAATGCAGCTGGCACCAGAGACAGTCCATTCTTTAATTTTCATGCCCTTTCTGGCCACGCGGCCAGAACTGCCGACCTGATGTTCTGGCAAGTCACAAGGTTGGAAGGGCCCTGCAGAAACCCATTGTGAGACGGCTGTGGACATCCAGAATTGGCATGAGTAGGACTGCAGGGCACAGGCGTTCCCGAGCAGGTGGGCAGGTCCATGCTACCCATCCTTCTGGCCCCAGCACCTTTCAGCTCATGCCTCTAGGTCAGATGGAGGGCGACCCTGTGATTATCTGACTGTGGGTGGGGTAAGGGGTGAGC